GGCGCTCGAGCATGCCCGCGAAGTCCGGCGGCGGCGGCGGCGCCCACCCAAAGGCCGCGAGGTCGATGTCCGGGTTCTTCGCGCGCGGCCGCTTCTCCGGCGGCGGGGCCGCGGGCGGCGCGGGGTCGCCGGCGGCCTCGGGAGCGCCCGCGGCCTCGTCGCGCGCGCGCTTCGCCGGCGTCGGCGCGAGGAGGCCGAGGCACCGGAGCACCTCGTTGCGCGACCGGTGCCGCTTCCCGGCGGGGTCGACGTAGACGTGCTCGACGCGGCCGTCGCCGGGCCGCACGCGCGCGCGCACGGCCCAACCGTCGACGACGGCCTCGCGGTCGCCGCCCTTCTTCTCGACGAGGTCCCCGAGCGCCGACAGGACCTCGGCGCCGTCCGCCGCCGCCTCCTCGTCCTCGACGATGGACATGGCCTGCTTGCACGCGCGCGACGGCCGCCGCGCCTCGGTCTCCGCGGGCGACGACTCCTCGGAGGCCTCCTCCGGCGTCCCTCGCTTCTTCGCCGCCGGAGCTTTCGCGGGAGCCTTCTTCTTCTTCTTCTCGGGAGCTTCCTTCGCCCCTGGCGCTTTCTTCGCCTTCGCGGGTGTCTTGGGCTGGCCGGCCGGCGCGGCCTCGGCCGGCGCGGCGTTCGCCTCGGCTCGCGGCGCGGCCGCCGCGGCCTTCTTCGGGCGGCCGCGGCGCGGCGGCTCCGGCGCCTCGACGGCCTGCTTCGGGCGGCCGCGCGTCTTCTTCTCCGGGGTCTCTTTCGCAGGCGCCTTGGGCGGGCGGCCGCGCTTGCGCTTTGGCACCTCCGTGCTCGCAGGCTCCGGTGCAGGCTTGGCTTGGGCCGGCGCCTTGGGTGCGGCCGCTTTCTCTTTCATCGGTGTGCCGCCCGAGGGAGCTACGGACGGCACCGTCGCCTCCGCAGCGCTGAGCTTGAGCGCGAGACGGAGCGACGACATCACTGGATGGCGGCGAGCTCGCGATCGGAAGCCCTTGGGCAGCCTCTCAGAAACCCAACGACTGCATCTTGAACTGAGCGCTCAGTTTTCAACGCGGGGCTGCTCTCATTGTTCCCGAGTGGAGAGCGTCGGCGCCGGCGGGAGCGCCGCGCCAGTGGCCCGCGCCGCGCCGGCAAGACCTCGCGCCCCCGAGCCGTCCCAAAAAGGATGGCGGGCTGGTACCGCGCGAAGACGTCGGGCCCCCTGACGCCGCCCTGCCGCTACCAGATGGCCCACGACCTCGTCGGGGACACGCTCTACGTCCACGGCGGCGGCGGCCAGGGGTCGGCGACGCAGCAGCGGCGGAGCCTGCTCTGGTCGCTGGACATCCAGACCCTGGCCTGGAAGGAGCTCGACGGCCCGCGGCGGTCGCTCGTGACGTCGCGGAGCAACCACAGCCTCACGTGCTGCGGCGGCACGCTCACGGTCTTCGGGGGCAAGGGCCTGGGCGCCAAGGCCGTGGACGTCACGAAGGAGCGGAAGCACGACGGCTCGGACACGCACGCGCCCGTCGTGCGCATGATGTCCATGCGCAACGTGCTCAACGACGCGGCCGTCTTCGACCTCGCGAAGCGGACGTGGAAATTGATGCCCATCACGGGCAAGTGGCCCACGCCGCGCCGGGGCCACACGGCGACGCTCGTGAAGAACTCGGAGGTCATCGAGCAGGCCATGAAGGCCGCCGAGGCCAAGGAGCTCGCGCGCGCCGCGAACCAGGGCGCCGTCGACGACGCCGAGGAGACGGCGCGCAAGGTCAACGACGCGCTGGGCCTCGACAAGCCGGACACGAAGTACGTGCTCGTCGTCGGCGGCGCCGGGCCCGACATCGGCGGCAAGGGCTTCGAGACCGTGCTGGGCCAGGTCTGGGCCTTCGACCCGGCCCACGGCTACTGGGCCGAGGTCACGTCGATGTGCACGGGCGAGCGCCCCCCCGCGCGCTTCGAGCACACGGCGACGCCCGTCGGCCGCTACGTCGTCGTCATCGGCGGCCTGTCGGCGACGGTGAACGCCGCCGACGCCCTGGGCCACAGCGACGTGCTCTGCCTCAACGTGGACACGCTAAACTGGGCGGTGATCCCGACGTCGCACGCCGCGACGGAATCGCCGGCGTTGTACGGCCACAGCGCCTGCCGGTCCCTGGCCAGCGACGAGCTCCTGGTCTTCGGCGGGTCGACGCGCGACTCCGAGGTGCGCGTGTTGAAGCTGTTCCCCGAGCGCATGGACCTGTGCACGTGGCGCGTCGCGCGGACGCCGCCGCTCTACGGCGACGGCGGCGCCGCGCCCTTCCTGAACAAGAAGCACCACCCGAAGCAGCACGCCCAGGAGGTCGCTCGAACGCCCGCCAACGCCTTCGCCAAGCACAAGCAGGTCCTCGGGCGGTCGCGGGCGCCGATGCCCGCGCGGCCGGACACGGCGCCGTTGCTCGACGTCGAGGCCTTCGACGCGCCGCCGCCGCGCCGGGGCCACCTCTTCTCCCTCTTCGTGCCCCGGGGCAGCTCCGCGCGCCACGGCGCCATCGCGGCGCCCGTCGCGCTCTGCTTCGGCGGGTCGCACCTCTTCGGCGGCGCGGAAGGCGCGCACTTCGCGGGCGCGGAACTTTTCCTCTACGACCCCGCGGCGGCCGCGGACGTCTTCGACCCGCTGGCGGCGCCGGCGAAGGTCGGCGGCCTCTTCGACGCCGCGTCGCGCGCCGGGAACCTGAGCCAGTTTCGGCGCTTGTCCGCGGCGGCCGCGTCCGCGCGGGGGGGAACGCCCGTCGGCGCGCGCGCGGAGCGTGCGTTCATCGACACGATCCGCGGCGACCTCCAGCGGTCGTCCTTCAGGGCCGAGTACTCCTACGACGGCGTCAAGCGCCTGCTGCAGACGGCGAACCGGGAGCGTCTGAAGCTCAAGCCGCCGAAGCCGCCGATGGACGACGCGTCGTCCGTCGCGTCCACGACGTCCTCGGCGACGTCGCGCCACC